CTTCATTGGCCTTCCCCCTGATTCTTACCAGCAGGGGACCTTCCCTAGTCAGCTCCCTCAGCAGCTGTGTCAGGAAGTGATCTCTGACGCACTCCAGGAACCTCCTAGACTGTTCCCCTCTGTATTGTATTTCCAGCAGATGGCTAGGAAGTTAGAGTCCCCCGTGAGAACAAGGGCTGGCAATTCTGAGGCTTCTCCCAGCTCCTTAGGGAATATTTTGTCTGCCTCTTCATCCTGATCGGACTTCCACCATGATATCTTCATTGGCCTTCCCCCTGATTCTTACCCACAAACACTCAAGCCTATCATCACCACTGTTAAGCTCTAGAACATTTGATGTTCTGCCCCCAGACTTATCTCTAGCGAGTCTGGTTTTATCTCTTTCCCCATTCAAATCTAGTTTAAAGCTCTTTCAACGAGCCCTGCCCAGCTCCTGTGCAAAGAATACAGAATTACGGCATCACAGAATCACTGAATGATAGGAGTTGAAGCTCTAGAACATTTGATGTTCTGCCCCCAGACTTATCTCTAGCGAGTCTGGTTTTATCTCTTTCCCCATTCAAATCTAGTTTAAAGCTCTTTCAACGAGCCCTGCCCAGCTCCTGTGCAAAGAATCACAGCATCACAGAATCACTGAATGATAGGAGTTGGAAGGGACCTCTGGAGATCATCTAGTCCAACCCCCTGCCAGAGCAGGGCCACCCAGAGCAGGTTGCACAGGGACGTGTCCAGGTGGGGTTTGAATGTCTCCAGAGAAGGAGACTCCACCCCCTCCCTGGGCAGCCTCTGCCAGGGCTCTGCCACCCTCACAGCAAAGAAGTTCTTCCTCATGTTTAGGTGGAACTTCCTGTGTTTGAGTTTGTGCCCGTTCCCTCTTGTCCTGTCCCTGGGCACCACTGAAAAAAGACTGGCCCCATCCTCCTGACACCCACCCTTGAAGTATTTATAGGTGTTGATCAGATCCCCCCTCAGTCTTCTCTTCTCCAGACTAAACAGACCCAGGTCCCTCAGCCTTTCCTCATCAGAGACATGTTCTAGTCCCCTCATCATCTGTGTAGCCCTCTGCTGTATCCTCTCCAGCAATTCCCTGTCCTTTTGGAACTGGGGAGCCCAGAACTGGTCCCAGTGCTCCAGATGGGGCCTCCCCAGGGCAGAGCAGAGGGGCAGGATGACCTCCCTCCACCTGCTGCTCACACTCTTCCTGATGCCCCCCGGATGCCATTGACCTTCTTGGCCACATGCGGGCTCATGGCCATCCTGTTGTCCACCAGGACTCCCAGGTCTTTCTCCTCAGAGCTGCTCTCCAGCAGGTCAGCCCCAACCTGTCCTGGTGCAGGGGGTTATTCCTCCCCAGGTGCAGCACCTACACTTGCCCTTGTTGAATTCCATCAGGTTCCTCTCTGCCCAACTCTCCAGCCTGTCCAGGTCTCACTGAACGGCAGCACAGCCTTCTGGGGTGTCAGCCACCCCTCCCAGAGTTGTGTCATCAGCAAACTTGCTGAGGGTACACCCTGTCCCCTCACCCATGTCATTAATGAATTTGTTGAAGAGATCTGGACCCAGACCTGACCCCTGGGGAACACCACTAGTTACAGACCTCCAACTGGACTCTGTGCCACTAATTATGACCCTCTGAGCTCTGTCTTTCAGCCAGTTTTCAATCCACCTCACTGTCCACTCATCTAACCCACACTTCCTAAGCTCACCTATGAGGATGCTGTGGGAGAAGGTGCCGAAAGCCTTGCCGAAGTCAAGGTAGACAACCTTTGAGACTCCCCTAACCAGAGTGGCACCAGAGCTCTGTCTTGGAAGCTGCAGCAATTGTGGTGGGTGCAGAGCTTAGAGAGGAGATGGCTTTCTGCTGAATGGATACCATTGCTCCCTGGTGGAGCTGGCAAAGGCTCAGCCCCCTTCCCATGTGCCCTGCCAGACCACACCCTGGTTTTGATGGATGAGGCCAGTGAGAGCCAGGAGTCCTTTTAGTTTTTCCAACTGTGAATCCACAAGCTTAAACGCATCCCATGAGAGTAGGTGCTGCAGAGCTCTGCGTGGTGGCCTTTGCCACCATGGAGGAAGGTCTCCTGGGACTGGCTGTCCTTGAACGTGCCAATAACCAGTGTGAGGAGGTAATGGAGCAAAGTGCAAGGGCTGGGTGAGGGAAGTGAAGCTGTAATTGCTCTCAGAAGCTGTGGGGCATCAGTGGGTCGACGTGGAGGTGAACAACGGAGAGAGAGGCAAAAAGCCCACCTGGTCGCAGCAGCCCGTGTTCACCATAACCCCAGCCCCCCTGGGTCCTTCCTGCCCACGGGGAAGGCTCGTGCTTTGCGTCTGCCACACACACACACATGCCACCGCTGTTGCCCTTCCCTCCGTCCTGCATTCCTGCCCTCCTCCTGCTTTGCTTAGCTTCCCAGCCCTGCTTTCTGCTCTCCCTCCCACAGCGCGTGAAGCTCAGGTTGCTTTAGCCTTGTCCCAACCCTCACTAAGAGCTGGGGTGGCAGCTTCCAGCCAGATCCCTCCCTGCTCAGCCCAGACGGTTGCTCAGGTCACGGGGACGTTGGCGAAAAATCCCTATCCCTGAGCAGCACCAAGGAGGTTGGCACGTAGCACCAGTTAGCAAATATTGCACAAGTCCTTCATGGCTTAAGTGCTTCCTGGGCTTGCAGCTCTTCCCAATGAAGATGCAGTAGGTCAACCCTGCAGCCTCCTGCAAACATCTGGGCAGATGCATGTTCTCGGCTGAGCGTGCAGCGGGCAGGTGGGCTGGTTGGGAGCGTGGACAGGATGCAGCAGGAAGGGGGGATGCTGGCGCTGGGGTGAGAGGTGGCAGGGATGGGGTTGAAAGCAGAAGAATGATGTGAGGAGCTCAGGGGATGGCTGGATGGCAAAGCCGCTGGCAAGGAGACAGGGCTGGGACATGGAGTGGGTAGGACGGGAGATGAACTTCGAGTTGGAGAAAATCAGGATGGCTCTGGAGACAGCTGATCCATCCCTGCCCCAGGCAGCAGCAGCTCTACCTCACCTCTTCCTGGCAGTGTGTCTCCCCTCATCTTAAACGCCTCCCCAGGCCACCTCTGCCAGTGCTTTCCTGACCTTTCTGCCAGGAAGGTTTTCTTCTCACCCAGCTTCAACCTGCCCTGTGTAGCTCCAGGGCTGCCTGTGCTCTGCACGGCAGAGAGGGAATTGCTCTTCCACCTCTCCCCCTTGCAGTGGCGTTTCATGCGTCGGGATGCTGCTGTAGCTCCCATCACTCCTCTGCTCCCAGCTTTCACGTGACTCAACCCCCTGCAAACTTTTCTTGCCTGCTGGATTTTTCTAGGCTTCTGGTCATTGCTCCTTCGGACTTTCTCCAGCAGGTCATGGCTGCTTAAGGTGTTTTGCAAGCCTCTTGCCCTGGTAGAGCTGCCCCACAGCCATTTCAGGCCTCTCACTCCCCCATCACAAATTCTTTTTAACTTCAAACCCCGTCCCCCTCCCTGCTGCCATCTCGGTTATTGGCCACCTGTGTCGTCTGTGGGATCCCACTCCCAATGGGGATGGCTCCCCAGTTTCATCTTCCTGGCTGGTTTTGTGCTCTCCTCATGGTAGTTCCATCCAGCCACAGGGCTGCCCCTCTCTGGCAGGAGCCCTGCTGGGGGCCATGCAAAACCCTTGCCGTGGTGGTGATGGGGCCGGTTGGTGACAGCAACAGGACCCCAGGATGGGCCTGGTGGGACCTTGGATCCCTGTGCGTCTGGGGGAGGTCACTGGGCAGCAGGGGCAGCCCTACCTGGCCATCACCTGGGGAAGGTTTTGGTGCTGGCATTAGGGAGCAGAGGATTGCAGGTACCTGTCTGCAGCTGGAAGGGGAGAAGGAGAGCACAGCCTCTCCCTGGAATTGGGCACAGGGATGGCACCGCTCGGCTTTGTGCCCACGAGGGCACCCAGCCCTTTGCAGCAAGGGGCCTTGGTATGGGTCTGCACCACCTCTGCCTCCCACCAGCCCATGGCCACCTCTCCTGGCTCCCACCGGCTGCGTGCCCCTCGGGAAGCACCGCACTGGGTGCCCACCGTCCGCAGCAGCATCCCACTGGATGGGATGCCCTGGCACTGCAGGTTTGCCGAGGGCCACGCAGTGACTGGGGGGCATTCAGGAATTCCAGGAACGCTACCTTTAGAGTTCTGCCTTGGTCAGGGCAAGCTGGTCGGTGCCTTCGCAATCCTCAGTGAACCACGCAAGGGGGTCAGCGGAGGATGGAGCCAAGCGGCGCAGGGAAGCACCCCTCGTAACGGCTCCCCGCCGGGTCATTTCCGAAGGGGGTCAGCGGAGGATGGAGCCGAGCGGCGCAGGGAAGCACCCCTCGTAACGGCTCCCCGCTGCGTGCCGTGGGGGTCCCACACTGCGCAGAGCCACCCCGGGCACAAGGGGCCACGCACCCTCCGGGGTGACGGGCAGGACCCTGGTGGTCAGCGGCCACCCAGGGCAACCCTTCAGGTGGGCTCTGCTGGTGGCAGGGGACGGGACGGTTGTCTCCGTGGGAAGACACGGAGGTTCTTCCAGAGAGGTGGGCAGCAGGTGGGAAGCAGGAGGGAGCCTTGCCCCGGCGCAGGGACCGAGGGCGTGCGAGCAGCCGGGGGGGCCAGGATGGGATGCAGGAGGATCTGCGAGTGCTTTGAGAGGCTGCTCCACCGCCTGCCCTGATGCTGCCCCAGACCCACTCTCCTCCTCCCTGCCGCCCCGGGGAGGATCTGGGAAGGGCTCCAGGCATCCTGGGGCAGCTGTGGGGCAGTCGTGCCCGCACCCCGTGCCGCCCTGGCTCTGGGAGAGGTGCAGTGTGAGTAGCCAGCAGTGCTGTGGGGCACAGGCCTGGCCCCACCGTCTCTGCTATCATGCTATTTTTGAATTCTCTTTTGTTGTTTTTTTTTTGTTTTGTTTTTTTGTTTTTGTTGTTTGGTTTGGTTTGGTTTGGTTTCCGTTTGTTTTCCTTTTTTTGTTCTGTCTCCTCGTGTTTGGTCCCTAGGAGCCAGCGCTAAGAAACAGGGCGAGGACTTAGCGGATAATGACGGGGATGAAGATGAAGGTATTTCTGTGCTCGAGGCTGCCACTGCATGACAAGCCAAGCAACTCCGTTTGCCCGCCATCCGCTGCCATCCCCAGGGAGCCCTGTGTGTGTCGGTCTGCCGCGCCGGCAGCCGTGGGGTGGGGGGCAGGCTGGCCGGCTGTGCAGGGCGCCCGGGCCCTTCCCCTCCTTGGGACCAGGGGTGGAAGCTCACGGGGGTTTGGTTTTTTTGGGTTTTTTTTATTATTATTATTTTGCTTTAGGAGAAGTTTGCTCCCGCTCGGCTTGAGCGAGGGCAGGGAGGAAGCTTGGCAGCTTGGGAGGAGAGAAGCTCTCGGGCACCTGGGCCCATTTCACCCCGAGCCCGGTCACATCCCACCTCCAGCCTCATCCCTCCGCAGCCGGTGACGTGCAGCCGGGACACAGCCACCTCCTGCTCCACACTTTGCCCGGCCCCAACGTGGGCACCGCCGCAGGGTGGCCCTGCCAGCAGCTTGGCACCTTGGCATCTGCAGGGTACCTGGCCATGCCCAGGAGACCCAAGGTCCGCTCGGACATGGGTTCTGTTAACTTCTCTCCTTCTCCACCCGACAAGAGTGAGGTCTGTCTTGCAGCCAGAGCATCAGCACCATCGGCCGAGGCAGAGCAAGTGGGCTGTTAAGCAGCTGTGATTCTAGATGTACAGCAGGGCGAAGCAACCTGCAGAATGAGCTATTTTTAGTAAAACAGGGTTGTTCATCTGCAGGGTATGGAGACGGTGTGTTTGGCTGCTGGATGTGAAGAGGAGGCAGGAGGAAGGGTCGGCCAGGGTGCAGCCCTAATGTTCCGAGGACAGTAAAACCTCATGGCATGCAGGAGTCCCGGGGCAGCCCGAGCACGGCCTGGCAGATGGTGTTTAGGATCTGGGAAACAGATCAAAAGCTTTTTCCTTGGTAGTATCAAAACCCTGCTGTTTTCTCCCACTAACCTGTGCCCCAGAATCTCTCGTACCAGGGCATAAACTGGCATTCAGCCCCAGTGATGTGACTGTACTAAATCCCTGCACCCTACGGCGTGCCCAGCCCTGAGGAGCCGTTTGTTTGCTGGTGCCTCTTCGTGCATCGCTGCCATTCTGCTGCCAGGGTGGCCCTTTGCACGTCGGTGGGAGCGTGTGGCAGGGAGGAGAGCGCACAGGCACCGATGTTCCTGCCCTTCACATTTCCAGCCCGTGGCCCCGGGAAGGGTTGTCCTGCCTTAGCCCTGCCGTATGGCCGATGTCTGTCCTAGGAGAGCCACGAGCATTTTTTGCTCCCCAGGTCTGTGCATTCACCTGGCTGTATCCTGGTGGTAGGAAAAAGGAGCCAGCACAGGTTTGGCCATGTCCTCATTCTCCTGGAGGAAAGGTTTTCTATATGGAAGGGAGGCCACCCTTAGCCATGCTGTGGGCCACAGGTGGAGGTGGGGATGGCCAGGGGTACCCATCAGCCCTGCAGCCCCCCGCAATGGGCAAGCTGTGGGGAGGAGTGGAGGTGGGCGAGGGTTAGGTGGGTGCAAGGGAACATGCCCACCCCAGCCAGGTGTCCCTGCTGCGTTGGTGAGGCTGTGTCCCAGGAGTCCCAGCCCTGAGGAGACCCCGGCAGGGGCTGCGGGGACAGCAGGGTGCATGGGGAGGGAGGCAGGCAGGGAGCTGTGGTGGCCAGGACAGCCGAGGACGAGCAGCCCCAGCAGGGGATGCCAGCCCGCCTGAGCAAGGCGCTGGGTGCAGGTAAGCACCAGGGAGGACAAAGTCCTCCTCGCCAGCTCAGGAGGGGCTGGGCACTGCAGTCATGTGGGACCTGGCACCGTCTCCACGATGGGCACAACTGCCTCCTCTGTGTAACGTGGGCGAGATGTACCAGGAGCTGAGTGTTCTTCCCTCGTGCCCGGGCTCGGCTCCGTGAGGGATCCCAGGCCAGTGGCACAGAAGGGGCAGAACATCCCCCAGACAGGGCCAGTCAAAAGAGGGAGCGTGGCTGCTCCCTGTCCCCCAGGCTCCTGCAGTCCTTCCTCCCCGGCCCTCGGGGTCCCATTCCCCATCCTCACTCCATGCCTCATACCCTGTCCTCGTCCGGACGCCGTGCTCACCCCCCTGACTCGCACACGTGCACACACTGTCTGCCTCATCACCATGTCTGTGTCTGGGCACTGGGGTGCCATGGGTTCACATCCAGGCAGCCGGCAGGTTTCTGCCTTCCCAGCGAGATGGGAAGTGGGGGGGTGGGTGGGAGAGTCAGACGTTGGAGCACCCACCAGTGCCCCCCAACCTGCCTTCCAGGTCCTGCACACCCCCATCCCTGCCCCCCCAAAGCAATGCCAGCTTCCAGGACTCACGGAGCCGAGGGCTTGGATACAGCCAAAGATGGGACACGGGGCTGCATTCCAGAGCTGGGCTCTGCAACTCCCACCCGCAGTGGAGGTGCCGCTGGCCTGGCTTCTGCCCGTGGCCAGAGCCCAGCTCCAGGGAAGAGCAACCAGGACCAGCAAGTATCTCTCCCGTGTGTGCTGAGACCCCTGAGGGGACCCAAGTGTGGGGATGGCACAGCAGCTGCTGCTACCCAGAGGGGCTGGCGGGGTTGGTTCAGTGGCTTTGGAGGTCCACGCTGTGGCTGTTTGGCTCCTAAGCCCCCTCCCCAGTCCTGGCAGCTGGCATTGTCCTCGTCCTTGGTCTGCCTGTCGGGCAGGGTGCTGCAGCCGCTGGCGGGGGTCCTGTGTTTAACCGCCTCTCCTTCCAGACATCCGGGACAGCGGGGCCAAGCCAGTGATGGTGTACATCCACGGTGGCTCCTACATGGAGGGCACGGGGAACATGATAGACGGCAGCGTGCTGGCCAGCTACGGGAATGTGATTGTCATCACCCTGAACTACCGCGTTGGAGTGCTGGGTACGGGCTGGCTGGCGTGGGCTGTGCCGCCCCCACAGCTGGGCGGTGGGGGGACTCCCCGTGGCCGACTGGGCTCCAGCCAGCTGGGGAGAGGGTGTGGGGAGATGTGGGGCCCGCTGGGATGTGGGGGGGCTGAGCTGTGGGTCTGCCCTGCGCCCTGGCCGCCCGGCGGGGTGCCACGTGGCAGCGTCCGCAGCGGGCAGTCGCAGCGTGGTCTGGCTCCTGGCACCCACCCGCCCCCGGCTCATTTACACAACCTGGCTCAGCTGAAAGCAAATATTGGTCTGTGGTTAAATAAATAATAAATGTGTTTACCCAGCATCTTTTCCTGAGACGGCTCGCACTGGGGAGCTGCCAGCGGGTATCGTCCCTGGGGACCCAGCAGCTCTCCCTCCCCAGGCAGGGGCTGCTTCCAAGGTGGTTGAGCTGCCGGGACCCCCGTGGCCACCCGCTGCAGCCTGCCTGGCTGCGGAGAGGGTCTCCAAAGGCTGTTGGGTGCCATATAGAGGAGGATGGAAGTCCCATTTTTGTGAGCAGTGGTGAGCTAGTGAGGGGACATGGGGTCAAAAGGCAGTGCGGTCCCCTGCCTGCTGCAGCAGAAGCCCCCGGATGCAGGAGATTTGCCTGGAGCATCACTGGAGCCTCCCTTAGCAGCAGGGAGAACAAGGGGTGCAGAGGTTTGGGGAGAGCCCTCTTCCAAGCCATCAGGCCTGGCACGGTGCTCTCCCTGGGCAGCTGGGCTCCTGGCCAGTATCCGGGGTGGCACATCCTTCTGGTGGCCGCCAAGCCCCATAGTCTCTTAGGGAAGAAGGCAGTCACCTGGCAGAAAATAGGCTTTTTAGTAAAAACAAGCCTATTCAAGACCTGTCGATATTAAAAGTCAGGCTGTTGGGTTGGATAGGTGCAAATTTAAGAAATGTACGTCACAATATGAAATAAGACTTCGGTGGTGCCATCATCACCCCCAGCGTACCTGGCCAGAGCACCTCCAGTGCCAGAGCAGCGCCAGCGCCGCTCCCTCCCGGCTGGGGTTACCCACCTGGGTTTTACCTCAGGACCATGTCTTTGGCTTCCTGCTTTGAGTCAAAGCAAACGGAACATCGATAGCTTATCTTTGGTGTTCCCTTTGCTATCAAAAGCATTTCTCAGCGTCTTCCTCACTGAGAACCTTTGTATTTTAAGCTGCGGTCGATTCCTGTCTGCCCAACCCACCTCCTTACATTTATTGAGCCTCCTCTGAGCCATGCTAGTCCATGGAAAGCCCTGGCTGTGCACACTCAGCCTGCCTGCAGCCACTGATGCTTTCTCAGCTTTCCTTGGGGCATACGTGAGATGTTTTGACCCATTATTAGGACGGGCGGTGGTCTGGGTAGAACAGGGCTTCATGCCCTACCACTGCTTGGAGAGGCTTCCCGGGGCTTGCAGCTGCACCCGCAGCCTTTTCCCCCTCTGTGTGCCATGCAGAGGGTGGCTGGAGCTCAGTGGTGTCCCTGCTCCAGCTTAGAGCTCACGAGACTCTCTTGGTAGTGGGATCTCCTGTCGTGGTGGGACAGAGTCCCATAGAAGCTCCCCTAGGGCAGGGGGAGTGGGGTGGGAGGTCAGGACGCTCCCCTTCCTCATCCCTAACTGGGCTCTCCTTGGCACGCAGGGTTCCTCAGCACGGGAGACCAGGCTGCCAAGGGAAACTACGGGCTGCTGGACCAGATACAGGCGCTGCGCTGGGTCAGTGAGAACATCGCCTTCTTTGGGGGAGATCCCCTGCGCATCACCGTCTTCGGCTCTGGCATAGGTGCCTCCTGTGTCAGCCTGCTCACCCTCTCCCACCACTCCGAAGGTAGGTGCCAGCCGTGCCCCAGCCTGCTGCGGCTGCCAGCGATGCTCACCTGGGGAAGGGAGCCCACCCGGGTACCTCCAGTCACCCTCGCCAAGTCAGGGCTGCCAAAAATCAGCCATTGGTGACAGCCTGACCCAAAGCCAGGAATCAAAACCTTCTCATCGTGGGCAGGGAGAGGCCAACGGCAGAGGCTGTGGGAGCCTGGGATGGAGCTGGTGCTCCCAGCGCACGGGGCTGCAGCCTGGGGCCACCACTGGGTGTGGGGAGAGGTGGGGACCCTCCTGCACCCTGCCCCAGCACCCAGGATGGCCCAGGGGTGGAGGGGGTGCACGGCATGAGGAAGGGTATCAGGAGCATGGATCTTGGTGCAGGGAAAGGGATTCGTACTGGAATAGAGGGGAAGCCAGAGCTGAGCCCGGGGAGGGATGGAGGGCCCCATCTTGTGAGACTGGGAGTGCTGGAAGTTCTGCGACTAGCAAAACACAGGTGAAAGTGATATGATTGATAGCTGTAAATACAGCAGAGTGTTTACTCTAGATAAAGACAGGAATTATTTACACTAAAAGATTGTGTTGGCATAAGAGCAAACGTATGTAGCCACCTGTGAAGACATTTACATCGAGCACTGGGAAAAAAACCCAAACAAAACCACAGGAGTAGATGTGTTCTCGATAAAACTTCCTAAAGGAAATCGCAGGAGCAAAGCCTGAATGGGATGTGGTCCACAGGGGACCAGCCTGCCAGGGACTTGAATATAAGTGGGACACAAACTTGAATGTAAGAAGTTCCACCTAAACATGAGGAGGAACTTCTTTGCTGTGAGGGTGGCAGAGCCCTGGCAGAGGCTGCCCAGGGAGGTGGTGGAGTCTCCTTCTCTGGAGACATTCAAACCCCACCTGGACACGTTCCTGTGCAACCTGCTCTGGGTGGCCCTGCTCTGGCAGGGGGTTGGACTGGATGATCTCCAGAGGTCCCTTCCAACCCCATGGGATTCTGTGATTCTGTAACTTAGTCAGAGGGGCTTTATGTGAGGGTGCAGCTCTCTCCCATTGCGTTGTCTCCAAGCCTGGTTCAGGGGAGAAGGGCAGTGGACACAGGTGTGACTCTGGATCTCAGAGATAAAACGCAAAATTGCACTTGAAGCCGTTGCAAAGAGCTGCCATCCTGCTCAACAGCCTGGGGATTGCATAGGAAAGAAGGAAACCTTCAGAACCTCAGCAGGGCTGATGGCATGGCAGAGGGTGTACGGGAGGAGGCCACCAGAGTTGGTCAGCCTTCCTCCAGCCCTGGGAGCTGCTGATGGGTTGGTTGCCCCTATATTGAAAGCAGGAATGATCTCAGCCCAGGCTGCTGCAAAGGTGGCTGCACCAGCACCGGCCTCATGTTCTGCTTGGTAGTATTTGCCGTGGGGCAGGAGGCTGGCATGAGCTGCAGTGAGAGGTGGCAGAGATGGTGCTGGCGGTGGGGAGTGAAGGGCAGCACCTTGCTGAGCCCAGACCTGGCACAGGGCTCGCAGGATGCTGGCAGCTCACCACGGACTCAGAGGCGAGCCAGAAACAGCTCTCTTCTCCCACATTTCTCCAGTTGCCCTTTTGGTTAAACTTGCCTGATTCTGCCAAACCGCTTGCCCTGTGGTGAACCCACCACCCCCACACAGAGACCCCATCCCTTCCCCAGGGACAAGAGGGGCTGACGGGCTGCTTGTGCCCCCCAACCCATCCCTGCTGCCCATCAGGGTGCCCACCGGTTGCAGCTGGCTGCCAGCCTCTCCTCGGGCAGGCCAGAGAACTGCAGCGGAGGGGCTGAGATGTGCTCAGCCCATGGGATTGGAGCACACAGAGGAGCTCTGGAGCCTCCTTGGGTGGTGGGATATCCCAAGCTGGCTCTGCAGCCCACCAGTGTCCAGCCAGCACCACCCCACCCTGTGCAGAGCACTCCTGCTCTTGGGGCCATGGAGTTCCTGGGAGGCAGGAACTCATCCTGGGGGAGTTGCTCGTGGTCCACGGAGTCCCTCTCTGGCATTGGGTGCTTCTAGCAGGGCAGTCCCAAGGCTGCAGACTGGGGTTTGCAGCCAGGAAGCTTGGCTGCCCAGGGTGGTCCCAACCATTTGTTGGAATGGTTTGGAATGTTGGAATTTGCCTGGAATGGAGGGAGGGAGCAGCACGGAGAGCGGCTGCGGGTGGATTGGAGGGGCTGGTCCTTGATTTTCCAGCCACAAAAAAAGTACTGTCATGCCAGTACAGCACTTTTCAGGTGACACTAGACTTTCTGCCACTAAGCTCTGCACCCGCGTGTCCTTTGCTGTCCCATCCAGCCCCGGTGCCAGTGGTGGGGTCCCCTGGCATGGCGGCGGTGCTGGGGGCACCCTCTCTGCGGCGGCAGAGGAGCTGCTGCCAGCTGTAAAAGCTGAGAGGCAGGAGGGGAGCCCTTGGTGCTGCAGCCAGTGTTCCATCAAGCCAAATGGCCCCAAAATGACCTCAGCCCCCCCACCACCACCACCACCCTCCCCACCACCCTGTGCCAGAGCCCCCACCTTCCCAGGGAGGGGGCAGCCAGCTCTGGAGCACGGCGAGGGAGCTGCGCTAAGATGCAGCCCGCAGACCAGGCGGGTTTGTTTTTATCGCATCAAAATAAAACTCGGAGTGATCAAGAGCTATTAATGAAGCTGCTAATTTGTGCCTGCTCTGCCAGGCGCTGCGAGAGGCAGACACTGGAGGCTGATGCAGCGCACGCTGTGTCTGGCTGCCGGGGAGACCTGCAGCTCCCCTGCCAGCCTCAGCCCTTGTAGGCGGGTGGATTCCTCACCCAGGAGCGAGGTGCTGCTTCATCTCCCCAGCCAGCCATGTCGGGGCAGGAGCAGGGACTGCCGGGCAAACCTCTTGTGTTTCCTTTGCCCCATCTCCTGCTCCTTGGGGGCTGCTGCCAGTTCCAGGGGTAGAATCATAGAATCATCTGGGTTGGAAGGGACCTTCAAGATCATCTAGTCCAACTCCCCTGCTGAAGCAGGATTGCCTAGAGCTTGTCCCCAATATCCAACCTGAACCTCCCCTGGTGCAACCTGAGGCTGTTTCCTCTTGTCCCATGGCCTGTTCCTTGGGAGAAGAGACCGACCCCCCCCTGGCTACACCCTCCTTTCAGGGAGTTGGAGAGAGCGAGAAGGTCTCCCCTCAGCCTCCTTTTCTGCAGGCTGAACACCCCCAGCTCCCTCAGCCTCTCCTCACAAGACTGAGGGTGCTCCAGACCCCTCACCATCTTTGTTGCTCTTCTCTGGACCTCCTCCAGCCCCTCGATGTCTTTTTTGTGGTGAGGGCCCCAAAACTGGACACAGCCCTTGAGGTGGGGCCTCACCAGTGCCCAGTCCAGGGGGTACTGGATGCCCAGACCCCAGCTGGAGGAGGCACCCAGCACCCTGCTTTGAGTAGCTTTGCCCAGACAACCCCGAGGTGTTTCCAGTCTCAGCCCCTGAGCAAAGCAAATGGGAAATGGGGAGCTGGTGGCAGCCTGCAGCACCAGGCACCCTCCAGCTGAGGTCTGGTCCCACCACTCTGCTGGGCTGGGCTGTGCCCTGGCTGCAGCTCTGCAGGACATGGGGTGCATGGGGACCCTCACCTCAGAGGGGAACATGCAGGGAAGGCAGAGCTGCTTCTTCCCACCTGAGCCCCAGCAGGCTGGAGGGCTCCAGGGTGAGCTGCAGGGTGGCAATGCCTCCCTGAGGAGCTTGTTGGCCTTCAGCTGGGTGCTGGCATGAAGAAGAAGGACACGGCAGGTCTGGGCTCTCGCAAGCTCCTGAGTTCCTCCTGGATGAGGACAGGGCCATGCAGAGACACAGCGAAGGGGCTCCATCAGGGATGTGACCAGCTGTTGGTGACACCAGCTGCCCGAGCTTCCCCAGGAAGGGATGGGCAGGGGCAGAACCCAGCCCGGTAGGTCCGTCCGGGAAGTGATGCTGCTGGTGGGGGGCAATAGCTGCCGCTGGGACAGCATCTCCCAGGAGCCCAGGAACCCCCCATCCTGGCTCTTTGGCGCGTGGATGATGGCGCAGAGCAAGCAAACCCATGGCCAGTCTCCAACCCGTAGGCTGGCTACAGCTTTCTAGGGCACCGGGAGGTGACAAACAGAGCTTGTGACTTCTCTTTGTCCCAGCGCATGGGACTGTACGTCAGGTACTTGGCAGAGCAAGGACTGTGCGTGCAGACAAGAGCTATGGACATGGTGGCCAGGAGCCAGGAGCCTCCAAACTCTTCTGCTGCAGGAAGGTGCACGCTCCCCTGTAGAGCGGCACAGCCTTGGCTGCACGGGGGGGTCTCATGCAGGCCCTCCACATTCCAGTGGGGTGGGGGCAGCCCCACGGCCACCCCACTGCTGCGCCAGCACCGTTGGGGGACCACCTGGGAGAGTCCCTCACGGTGAGCGAGCGCTGGAGTCTCCAGCGAGGGCACGGGCAGCACCCGGGGTGCAGGTGAGGGCTGGCTGAAGAGCAGGGACCCCGGGGTGCACCCCGAGTCCGGGTGCCTTTCACCGCCCCGGAGGCTCCGCTTCCTTCGACGCCCTTTGTATTCTGAGCACAAGCGCCATTGACATGGGGCTGGAGCCCGGCCAGGCATTCCTCCGCCTGGGCCAGGGCCTTTGTGGCCCCGTTTTCCAGGGCGAAAGTCCACTCCCTCTGTGTTCCCGGTGGCAGAAAGGCCCTCTTTGTGCATCTGGCAGCGCGCTCCTGCGGGGCCGGATTGGCACCGAGCAGCCCCAGCTGGGCAGGAAGCGGCGGGGAGGGGGGCGAGGGGGACCCTGACAAAGCGGTGGGGTGGGACACACAGGGTTAAGTGTCCCCGAGCAGGCATTAACCCTCCCTCTGCTGCCAGCCTGCAGCCTGGCTGCTCAGTGAAGCTGGCGGTGCCACCTTGGGCTGGGGGGGGTGGCACGGGGCAGCCCTAGGGGTCTCAGGCAACATGTCCTCGGGGTGGGGGGGACGGCACAGGCTGCTTGGCAAGGCATGGCCCCTCTCCTCCCCACACCAGGACAGAGGGGTGCCAGGCCACCCCCCGCAATGGGGTCCTCGGGGAGCACGGCAGCCCTTGGTCACTGCCTGGAGCACCCACTGTGTGCCCAGCTGCCACCCTGGCAGCGGCCCTCAGCTGAGCCCTCAGTTGTCAGGGCCAGGCACAGGCTGGAGCACTGGGTCCTTGCGGGGATCCAAGGGCATCGATGCCTTCTCCAGGCTGCATCCTGCACTTCGGCCCTGGGGCGTTGGGACAGTATCTCACTGAATTTTTAGAGTTGGAAGGGACCATAGAGATCATCTAGTCCAACTCCCCTGCTGAAGCAGGATTGCCTAGAGCTTGTCAGAGCATGTTAGTCAGGACGGCATCCAGGAGGGTCTTGAAGATCTCCAGAGAAGGGGACTCCACACCCTCCCTGGGCAGCCTCTGCCAGGGCTCTGCCACCCTCACCCCAAACAAGTTCTTCCTCACATCCAAGTGGAACTTCCCATGGTCCAGCTTGTGCCTGTTGCCCCTCATCCTTTCACTGGGAACCACTGAAAAGAGTCTGGCTGTGCTCGCCATGCTGTGAGCTTTCTCTGCTCCTTGCCTGTCTTGCAGGTCTCTTCCAGAGAGCCATCATCCAGAGCGGCTCTGCGCTCTCCAGCTGGGCGGTGAACTACCAGCCTGTGAAGTACACCAGCATGCTGGCTGACAAGGTGGGCTGCAATGTGCTGGACACGGTGGACATGGTCGACTGCCTGCGGCAGAAGAGTGCCAAGGAGCTGGTGGAGCAAGACATCCAGCCAGCTCGCTACCACGTGGCCTTTGGGCCAGTCATTGACGGGGACGTGATCCCGGACGACCCGGAGATCCTGATGGAGCAGGGCGAATTCCTCAACTACGATATCATGCTGGGGGTCAACCAGGGCGAGGGGCTGAAGTTCGTGGAGGGCGTAGTAGACCCCGAGGATGGCGTCTCGGGCAGTGACTTTGACTACTCAGTCTCCAACTTTGTAGACAACCTGTACGGCTACCCCGAGGGCAAGGACACCTTGCGGGAGACCATCAAATTCATGTACACGGACTGGGCCGACAGGGACAACCCTGAGACACGTCGCAAGACTCTGGTGGCCCTCTTCACTGACCACCAGTGGGTAGAGCCGTCAGTGGTGACGGCTGACCTGCATGCCCGCTACGGCTCCCCCACCTACTTCTACGCCTTCTACCACCACTGCCAGAGCCTGATGAAGCCTGCATGGTCCGATGCAGCCCACGGGGATGAGGTGCCTTACGTGTTCGGGATCCCCATGATTGGCCCTACAGACCTCTTTCCCTGCAACTTCTCCAAGAACGACGTCATGCTCAGCGCCGTGGTGATGACCTACTGGACCAACTTTGCGAAGACGGGGTGAGTGGGGATGGGTGCTGTGCCTGGGGGCTCTGCATTAGTTGCAGTTGCAGCCTTTGGGACCATGCTGGGGAGGGAGGGGGTCATGCCTGGTGTGGGACACTGAGCCCCCCACCCCCAGAGGTCTATGTACTGCACCTTCACCTGGGGTCAGGGCATCAACCACACAGTGAGAAGCTGAAAGTGCGGCCAGCCCCCGGGGCAGGGTACAGGCAAGCGTGGTAGTTGGGGGGTTGCTTGGCTGTAGTTACCGTGGGTGAGACTTGACCCAGGGTTGGGGTGCTGCCCAGCCATGCAGGACCTATAACTACCTGAAGTGGGGGTGTAGAGAGACAGGGGTTGGTTTGGTCTCCCAAGTCACAGGAGGTAGGACAAGGGGAAATGGCCTCAAGTTGCCCCAGGGGAGGTTTAGATTGGATATTAGGAAACATTTCTTCACCGAAAGGGTTATGAAGCCTTGGAATGGGCTGCCCGGGGAAGTGGTTGAGGCACCAACCTTGGAGGTGTTCAAAAGATGGGTAGACATGGTCCTCAGGAATATGATTTAGTAATTTTAATTTCCTATTTCTTATTTATTTTTTTGTCAGAGTTAGGTTGATGGTTGGACTAGATGATCTTTAAGGTCCCTTCCAACCCAGACGATTCTATGATTCTATGACCTTTCACCAGCCCACCCTGTGCCACCACTGGCAAAGGTCCCCCCAGCCTCCACCCTCCGCATCCAGCTCTCCCTCCTAGCCTCTCCAGCTTTTCCCACCGCTAGCTCTGTTTTGCCTGTTTCGCAGGGACCCCAACAAACCCGTCCCCCAGGACACCAAGTTCATCCACACCAAGGCCAATCGGTTCGAGGAGGTGGCCTGGTCCAAGTACAACCCCCGCGACCAGCTGTACCTGCACATTGGGCTGAAGCCACGGGTACGTGACCACTACCGGGCCACCAAGGTGGCTTTCTGGAAGCACCTGGTCCCCCACCTCTACAACCTGCACGATATGTTCCACTACACCTCCACCACCACCAAAGTGCCGCCGCCCGACACCACTCAGAACTCCCACATCACCCGCCGGCCTAATGGCAAGATCTGGACCACCAAGCGCCCCGCCATCTCGCCCGCCTACAACAGCGAGAACGGGAAGGAGAAGTGGAGCCCGGAGCAGGAGGCGGGCACCCTGCTCGAGAGCCCCCGTGACTACTCCACCGAGCTGAGCGTCACCATCGCCGTGGGCGCCTCCCTCCTCTTCCTCAATGTGCTGGCCTTCGCCGCCCTCTACTACCGCAAGGACAAGCGCCGGCAGGACACGCACCGGCAGCCCAGCCCCCAGCGCGGCGCCACCAACGACATGGCCCACGCGCCCGACGAGGAGATGCCCTCCTTGCAGGTGAGCCAGGGGCACCACGAGTGCGAGGCCGTGCCGCCCCACGACACCCTGCGCCTGGCCGCTCTGCCCGACTACACCCTCACCCTGCGCCGCTCGCCGGACGACATCCCCCTCATGACCCCCAACACCATCACCATGATCCCCAACTCACTGGTGGGGCTGCAGACCCTGCACCCCTACAACACCTTCACTGCCGGCTTCAACAGCACGGGGCTCCCACACTCACACTCCACCACCAGGGTATAGCCGCCCGCCGGCGCACACGCACGCACGCACACGCACGCAGCAGACACTGGCAGAGGGAGCAGCGGGGCCGGAGGAGCCCCCCGGCCGGAGGAGCAGTGCCAACGGACGGTGCGGCACCGAGCCTGGAGACCTGCGGGGTCCCGGTGCAGCTGGATGCCCCACTCTTCTCCCAGCTCATTCTTTCATCCTTATCTAACTTTTGAGAAGTGCTTTGACTCTCCCGGCTCCCGGGAGCCCCGGGGGTGCGAGGGGAGGACACGGCGCAGCCCCCTGCGCCCATGCCACCGGCGCGGGCAGGCGGGGGGGGCGGACCCCACTGGCAGTGGCCGGGGCTGTGTCTCCCCGCAGGGTGATGACATCCCCAGCGCTCCGTCTGCTGAGCACCCTGGGACTGAGGAGGAGTGGGGCCGGGCCTTCCTCTCGGCCGGTGCCTGGGCATCCCCGGGCGGCTTGGCATCCCGAGTGCCCTGGAAAAGGCTCCTTCACTGTGTCGAGAAGTGGCCCCGGGGCCATGGTGCTATAGGCAGAGGGAGTGGGCAGGGTCCGGGGACCTGGCCTCCTGCTGGGGCCGGGGCTCGGGGACCCCGGAGACCCTGGGCACGGGGCCCCGGGGCTGGACACTTGGCACCTCTGCCCCTCTTTGCGCTGCAGAGAATCTCTTTTGTGTCAGTCGTTTCTCTTTGCAGAGACGTTTTTTAAAGCAGATCTTTAGTTCTTTACACACTAACGGAGTCGCCGCGTTTTGTCCTTTGTAAAGATTTTAAAACCAAGTGTTCTTGATATAAAATAAAAAGCCAGTTAGAAGCCAGCGTGTGCGCGCAGTGCCGGCCCCCCCCGCGGCCCCCGCCTGCCGCGGGCAGGCGCCAGGCAGGGCACTGCCTCTGCGCCGTGGGGCCGCGCTCTTTTGTATTTTTGATATTCTCCCTCCTCTCTCGCCTGTGCCCACGTATCTCAGCCAAATAGCCTCCCTGATGGCCCCCCCAACCCCTGCCGCCAGCATCCCCTCCACCCCGGCCCACCACACTGGTGCCACCCACCGCCCCACCTGGGCATCACCCGCTGTCAGCACCCCCTGCCCCCCGCCATCAGCACAGGGCAGCACCCCAGAACCATGTTCCTAGTGCTCCCCACCCTGCCCTGCACCCCTCCCCCCGCCACCAGGAGCATCCCAGGTCCCTTCACCGCTGCCCCAGGGCCACGCTGTGCCCTCCCTGCCCACACCGCTGCCCGAAAAGCAGGGGTGGGCAGCGCTGTGGGGCTGGCAGGAGCAGGCTGAGCCACACACCCACAGCGACTCCGGCTCCCAACTCACTCCCGCCGGGGTCTCTTTCCCCCATGGCGGGGCAACACCGGCTCCAGCGTTCGGGGGCACGCGGCTGGGCTGGATGCCCGGGCAGGGGCTGCTCGAGCAGGGGGCGCCGCAGCCTGTGCGAGGCCGGGAGCCCCCTCCTGGGGCTGGGCACCCACCGGGATGGTGGCAGCCACCCAACTGCAGGTGGCTGTGGGCAGCGGGGCTCAAGGCGAGGGGTTTCGGTGCAGCCGGGCATGGAGAAGGAGCTGCCCGGGACCCTACACAGGGCACCCCAGTCTCAGTCCCGTCCCCCCCCCATCCCCAAGACACTGGCACCCGGGGCCTCAGGAGGCAGGAGGAAGGGACGGGTCCTTGCAGGGGCACCATTATCCTGTCCCTGTGCAAGACGGTCCGGCTGGCAGACGCTGCCTGCGCTGGCGGCCGTGACGCACCGGTGCCGGCTGGCCCTACTGCCTGGGGCTAGCGCACCCCCGGGCCTGCACCCGGCCCCCCCGCCCCCCGGCTGGGCTGAGGGTGAGGATGCTCGTTGCAGAATGTATTTATACCCTGTCACCCGCGCAGAGTAACAAATTCCAAATAAAACAGAAGTGATATTTTTAATAGCGGTGTGTCTCGCCTCTTCTTGGAGCGTGCAGGGGCCGGGGGCTCCCAGGCTGGGGGGGCTGGGGGGGGTTATGCTCGGGGCCAGCCCAGCTATGGCCGTGCCTGCTTGCAGAGGGTCCCAATGCCCCCCTGTGTCCCTGGCACCCACCCTCCCCTGGCGGGAGGACCCCAGTATCACCCCCCCAGG